GTTACTTACATGTTTAAACAGATTGTCAGCATTTGCATGCGGAATTTAGTGGAACAGAACGAATGACCAAGGGAAGGCAGGGACTTGCAGCATAAAGTTAATCACGTTGGCCAGCGCAAGAAGGAAACTATCATCAGGGAGCAAAAAGCAGGTCAGTGAGCAATAAACCAAAGTGGTAAGGTCTCTAATACTGCTGTAAGTCTGCCCACATGTTTAAACAGATTGTCAGCATTTGCATGCGGAATTTAGTGGAACAGAACGAATGACCAAGGGAAGGCAGGGACTTGCAGCATAAAGTTAATCACGTTGGCCAGCGCAAGAAGGAAACTATCATCAGGGAGCAAAAAGCAGGTCAGTGAGCAATAAACCAAAGTGGTAAGGTCTCTAATACTGCTGTAAGTCTGCCCAGCTCAGGCTGGTTTAATGAAACTGGTTACGTGGCTCCTTAAGCCAGTAGAGCAATTCCTGAGATTGTTAACTCTTGGGCACAGAGACTGTTTTTTTGTTATCTAGTTGTTCAATGCCCAGCACAGAGGGATCCTTCTCCTTGGTTGGAGCCAATACTACTTATTGCTCATAATGGAGCCATGGCCCTCAAACTGTGGGCCCACTTGTCTTCCACACAACAATTCCAGGTAGTCCATGGAGCAAGCCATAATAGTGAGGCCTCCTATATTTTTCAAGCACAGATGTCTCCTGTTGTCAGGGTCCTGAGTGAAGGCAGGCAGGACTAGTGGCAGGATCTCAGGGGCAGGAACAATCACTAGAGCTCAGTCAACATCAGGGTCAATAGTTAGGCCAAGGGCAGAGCCAGAGCTAGATCAGGCCAGTACCAGGTATCAGGGTCCACATGGGTGCTCCAGAGTTCAAAAAGGAATCAAGGTCCAAGTCAGAGCCAAGATGATCTTTGCGGCTGCGTCTAGACTGGCATGATTTTGCGGAAATACTTTTAACAGAAAAGTTTTTCCGTTAAAATTATTTCCGCAAAAGAGCGTCTAGATTGGCACGGATGGTTTTGTGCAAAAAGTGCTTTTGCGCAAAAGCATCCATGCCCAGTATAGACGCGCTTTTGCGCAAGAAAGCTCCGATGGCCATTTTAGCCATTGGGCTTTCTTGCGCAAAAAATTAAGGTGCCTGTCTACACTGGCCCTCTTGCGCAAGAGGGCTTATCCCTGAGCGGGAGCAAGAAGCACTGATTTTGTACATTACAAAGACAGTGCTCTTGCGCAAATTCAAGCGGCCAGTGTAGACAGCTGGCAAGTTTTTGTGCAAAATCTTGCCAGTCTAGATGCACCCTGAAAGTTTGGCAACAGGGTGGCTGGCTGGCAGTAGGTAGTAAGTAATGCATGGCATTGGTGCTGGAACATCTTTGAGTTTATATAGGGTAGGGAGCCAATCAGGCATCATGAGTCTGCTGTCTGTCAAACCCTTTGAGGCAGGACTTCCTGTGGTCTGGGTTTGCAGTGAGTTGTGCATAGGGGCGTACAAGCTTGTTTCAGATAATACTGGGTGGAGGTTTCTACTAATTGGAAAATGTGCAGGCCTAACATTGAAACTTCCTGGGCCTTAAACCTGTCAATACTGGCCCAGTTCAGGACTCTCTTGGGGTATGTCTACACTACCCTCCTAATTCGAACTAGGAGGGTAATGTAGGCATACCGCACTTGCAAATGAAGCCCGGGATTTGAATTTTTAAATGCTGGCAGTTCGAACCCCGTGCCGCGCGGCTACACACGGCACGGAGTAGCTAGTTCGGATTAGGCTTCCACGAGGAGTACAGCTAGTTCGGATTAGGAAGCCTAATCCAAACTAGCTACTCCTTGCCGCGTGTAGCCGCGCGGCACGGGGTTCGAACTGCCGGCATTTAAAAATGGCGCCGGACGGCTTCATGCAAATGAAGCCCGGGAATGAAGCCCGGGAAATTCAAATCCCGGGCTTCATTTGCAAGTGCAGTATGCCTACATTACCCTCCTAGTTCGAATTAGGAGGGTAGTGTAGACATACCCTTGGGGTTTCCAGGCAGTCCACTGACCAACTGCCCTCAGAAAGCAACCCATGTGCACAGCTTTTTCAGTTATTCCTTCAGTGTTCATATAACACTGAAAATGGCAACAAAGCAGGAAGGGGGAAATAAAACACACAGATGAACTGAACCAACTACAAAATGGTCGGGAGAGAAAAGAGCACCAGGGACAGTGGTGAAAGGGGGAAGTTCCCTGATCAACCTAAAAGCCTCACACCCTAGGAGTAGGGTTGCCAGGTGTCCAGTTTTTAACTGAACAGTCCAGTATTTGAGCTTTCTGTTTGGGAAAAAATTGAGAAACTATAATTGAGTAAATAGAACTGTCCAGTAGTTTCTCAGTCAGATGTAATGTAGATTGTGATGTAATGGAATGAGATGGAATGTAGATTGTGATGTAATGTCAAATGTGTCCAGTATTTTTGTTGAAACCATCTGGCAACCCTACCTGGGAGTGGATCTGAATAGTAGATACAAAAAGAGGGGGAAGGGAGTGTAACCAGGTAGGTATGACCATCAAATTAAATTGAGCTTGCCTTTTCAAAACCATCCTACGGGTACTTTTTCCTGATGCCCATAGCTTTTTCCGTATGAGCAAACCCTCTGACACTAATAGACATATTTTGGAAAGGACTCACCAACATGCACCAATGAAGTGCTGTACTCTTTTGAAAAACTGGGCCCAGCTGTGATCCCCTTCTTCTGAATATCTCAGCCAATGTTCCATCTAAACTTTTCCATCCATGTATAGTTTATTTCCATCCAAGCGTGGAATAATTTGTTATGTGCAAAGGCATGTGCGAATGTGCACCACCACTAGAAATACAAAGCTGGCTGTGGGCGCTCTGCTAAGCAGCTGGGCAGCTTCTGAGTCTCTTCTGAGTGGCCACCCAAGTGCACAGCTTAGGGAACACTGATCTGAGCCCTATTTTCTAAGCCCAGCTGGGTTATTTACTCACTTTGTGATCTCAGACAACTCATATGACCTGCTTGTGCTTTAGTTAACCCACCTGAAAATACTGGGTCAAAAGCAAACCCTGTGCTGGAAGGGAAACTCAGAAGTTTCATCTAGAGGATCTAGTCATAGAATCATAGGGCTGGAAGAGACCTCAAGAGGTCATCAAATCCAGCCCCCTGCCCAAAGCAAGACCAATCCCAACTAAATCAACCCAGCCAGGGCTTTGTCAAGCCGAGACTTTAAAACCTCTAGGGATGAAGATTCCATCATCTCCCTAGGTAACCCATTCCCGTACTTCACCATTCTCCTAGTGAAATAGTTTTTCCTAATATCCAACCTAGACCGCCTCCATTGTAACTTGAGACAATTGCTCCTTGTTCTGCCTCCATCACTACTGAAAACAGCCTCTCTCCATCCTCTTTGGACCCTCCCTTCAGGAAGTTGAAGGCTGCTATCAAATCCCCCCTCACTCTCCTCTTTTGCAGACTAAATAAGTCCAAATCTCTCAGCCTCTCCTCACAAGTCATGTGCTCCAGCCCCCTAATCATTTTGGTTGCCCTCCGCTGGACCCTCTCCAATGCATCCACATCCTTTCTACAGTGGGGGGAGGGGGGCGGAACTGGACGCAATACTCCAGATGTGGCCTCACCAGAGCCGAATAAAGGGGAATAATCACATCTCTAGATCTGCTGGCAATGCTCCTCCTAATGCAACTTAATGTGCCATTAACCTTATTGGCTAAAAGGGCACACTGTTGACTCATATCCAGTTTCTCATCCACTGTAATTCCCAGGTCCTTTTATGCCAAACTGCTTCTTAGCCATTCAGTCCCTAGCTTGTAACTATGCTTGGGATTCTTCCATCTCAAGTGCAGGACTCTACACTTGTCTTTGTTGAACCTCGTCAGATTTCTTTTGGCCCAATCCTCTAATCTATCTGAGTGACTCTGGACTCTATCACTGCCCTCCAACGTATTTACCTCTCCCCCTAGCTTAGTGGTATAGTGTTATCTCCAAACTGGAAACTTCTTCTACAGTTTTGATTCTGGGTTGCGTATAATTCCAGTTGGAGCAGATTTTTGAGATGTGGTTCAAGACGAAAGACCAGCTGGTGCTGAGATTGCCACCATTTGAGGATGAGATCCCATATGCTTTCAGATCTGAGTCAGCCTTAAACTCAGAACCCTGCATAACTCAATCCTGAATCTGGCTATGAATACCATCTTTTCAGCCCATCACTAACACATCCCTATGTATAGAACTGTAGGAATAAATTAAGTTTATCACCTTACATTTCAAAACTTTCCAACATCAGTTAATTACCTGGAATGGGGCAGGATCTTTGTGAAGAAACTCATGTCAATACTCCCTCTCCTGGGAGGATATTAAAGTGAAACATGAAAAGTCTTCCCATAGGCAGCACCCAAGCAAAGGCCACTTGCTGGTCTAAAAAGACTTTCTTTAAGCACCTGTGGGGCAGGTTCTACTCAGAAAAGTGACTGTGCAAAATGACAGTGAGGCTCTGTATTTATTACCTCTCACTAGGACCCTACACAATTCATGGTGCATTTTGGTCAGTTTCCAAGTCCTGGGATTTTAAAAACTACAAATGTTCTGATCTCAGCTATGCAATGCTGAAATATTGCGGTGTTGTAATTCTAGGGGTCCTGACCCCACATAAAAGGAGCTGGGGGTTGCAAGGTTATTGTAGGGTGGATGAAATACTGCTACCCATACTTCTGCACTGCTGCTGGTGGGGGCACTGCCTTCACAAGGCAGCACTGCCACCAGCAAGGTAGCAGTAAAAATGGCGTGGGATAGTATTGGCCACTCTCACTTCGCTACCACTGCCTGCCACCACTCTGGCTGTCCAGCTCTGAAGGCAACAGTGCAGAAGGGTGACATGGAATGATATCACCACCCTTACTTCAGCACTACTGCTGGCCACCCAGCTCTGAAGGCAGTGCAGAAGTAAGGATGGCAATACCATGACCTCCAAATCCCAGTCTCCCCTGTGAAAACTGTACAGTAAAGTGTAAAAGCAAACAAAAGACTAAATTTCACAGTGGGAGACCAGATTTCACGATCCAAGATGTGTTTTTCATGGCTGTGAACTTGGTAGGGCCCTACCTCTTAGGGCTCATCTAGACTACGCTAAAGTGTCGAAAGAGGATATGCAAATTCCGCGGGAATTTGCATATCTTCTTCGGATCTCATTTTCGAAAGCAAAGCGTTCGAAAGTGAAAGTAGTCAAGACGCGGGGGGGTTTCAGCAACTCCCTCCCTTTTCGAAAAGCTGCTTGACCTCAAAAAATAAGGGTTACGTGGCTTTTCAAAAAAGGGTAGGTTGCCGAAAAAAACCACATCTTGACTACTTTCACTTTCGAACGCTTTGCTTTCGAAAATGAGATCCGAAGAAGATATGCAAATTCCCGCGGAATTTGCATATCCTCTTTCGACACTTTAATGTAGTCTAGATGAGCCTTCTCTGATTCCAGATCCAACTTGTTCAGGCTGTAAGTTTAAAAAAAAAAGTGTCTGCCCTGGAGGATCTGGGAGACAAGTTGAACTTCTTCCTTCTCACGCAACATGACCGAAAATAAAGGACCAAATTGGAGCCTTCACAGGAGCAACTGAGCAGAATTTAGCAAACAATTCTGTTGATGCTTCAGTGGGTAACTGAGTTAGTCTGTACAGGATAAACTTAAAAAAACAAAAAAATAGTCTGGTAGCACTGTAAAGACTAACAAAACGTGTAGATGGTATCATGAGCTTCCGTGGATGAAAGAGAATTCAGCTGCCCCGCCTTAGCTGCTGGTCACTCTCTGCAGGGCTCGCAAGAGTCACTGAAGTTGGCAGATGATGACTGAAGTCACAAAGATTTCTTGAGTAAAAAGATTTTTCTTTTTTTCTCCCTCTCCCTTCTTATTCTGAGGGTCCTCCCTTTTTTTCTCCACTCAAGCTCATCTCATCTGATGTAATCCTTCTGCCAAGTAGCACCAGCAGCAGCCAGGGCAGGGTTCAATATCTGGGGGTTCCTCTCCATCCATCCAACACAGAACTGGCTCAAGCCCCTACCCAGTGACCTGGGAAATTCACACAACACCCCTGGGCACCTCTGAGAAGCCATGCATTCTAATGTCTGATTTATCAATCCGTGCTGCAGCAGCACAGACAATTACTTCAAGCCTAGAAAAAGTATATGCGTGGTGTAGCTGTGATTGGATTAAAAGGGGAAAGAAGTACAGGCAGTCCCCGGGGTATGTGGGTCCAACTTACGTCAGATCCCTACTTACGAACGGGGTGGGTGGGCCTCCCCCAGCAGACCGTGGGCCCCCCCACCCCAGCAGACCAGGGAGACGCGGAGCGGCTTTTCTCGCCGTGGAGGAAGCGGGGAGCG